TTAGTTGTTGAATCTTATCTTTCTTCTCACAGACTGAGGTTCATTTCAATAGAGGGGCAATAGTTGTAGACACTTCTCCTTCGCATACATTAGCACTGTTAGTTGTTGAATCTTATCTTCCTTCTCACAGACTGAGATTCATTTCAATAGAGGGGCAATAGTTGTAGACACTTCTCCTTCGCATACATTAGCACTGTTAGTTGTTGAATCTTATCTTCCTTCTCACAGACAGAGATTCATTTCAATAGAGGGGCAATAGTTGTAGACACTTCTCCTTCGCATACATTAGCACTGTTAGTTGTTGAATCTTATCTTTTTTCTCACAGACAGAGGTTCATTTCAATAGAGGGGCAATAGTAGTAGACACTTCTCCTTCGCTGCCAAACTTTAACCGCACCCGAGAACCCCCCGACCACAAGTTTTCCTCCAAGAAGTTTTTGTTTGATGTCTTTGGTAATGTACAGGCTTACTGGGATGAAGTAATGTGTGTTGCTCTCAACACGCCACTGGGTAAGTAGAACAGTCTAATCCAGCAATCGAGTAGTGTAAGACTTGAACTGTTTGTCTTTGACTTAGCATTTTTGAAACCTTTTTACAGACGTTTYGATCCGTGACTACGGATCTTCTTCAGTGTGCCTTTGGTATTTGGGCAATCATATTCAAATGTTGGTGTTTGCTTGCGCTAGAGTCCCGTACGAGAGTAATATATTCAATTTTTTAATAGGCCATGGTGAGGGTGTCGACTTTATTCCCCTGTATGTCTCACAGAATTATCCCACTTCAGTTGCTTCTTACCCACAAGACTATGGTTGATTTTGGAAAGACTAATCAAATTGGCGTATACGAGAAGAGCAGAGATCACGAAGTGGGAGGTGATTGAATGGAGTAGTGACACCTTTTTTATCTATCAACTGAAGTCTCAATCACTTTCATCTTACACATACTGGTCTTCTATACCCCCACCCTCCCCACCCCTGGAAACACACACACTTTATGCTGTGCTTTGCAGTCCTTCGAGAGTCGGATAAAAATGTTATTTTCGCTTGCATCACTATTTGAAATGGCATGGACACTTCTTCATTTTAGTAAAACAGACACCATGCATGTCCTGACTTTCCCCAAAACTAATGGTATATCATCCTATTAGGTATGCGTCGAGCTTACCAACTTCCCCGAGACAGGAGATGGTTCAAATTTAGCTACTGTGAGGCACCAGTCATGCTGGAGGACAACATCATCCCTCCACCTGGTGACGGCAAAGGTGCTTGTGGTTTTGATACATTTCTTCATGCTCATATCGCCAGAAACTGGACTTTTAGTGGTAGGTGTTATACTTGGTTCAAACCATATGTTGCTATATACTATATAATTACGAACAGCTGGGCTAGGTTGTACGAAGGGTGGATAGCGCTATCCGGCGGCCTTATCCAGTGGATAAGTTGATGCAGTTTTCCAATAAATTTATCCATTGGATAAGATTTATCCATCGGATAGCGCTATCCAGGCTTCGTACAACCGGGCCCAGTAGTATAGTTCCCAAACTGCAATTTCATAACTAAATCTGACTCTCTAATAGTCAAGCGCGCGCTTTTTTTCCTATTGACTTTATGTGAATCGCTATTTAGGTTTCAAAAATATTATTTCAAAGTCAATCACCATTTTGTTTGTGTTTTAGGAACGCCATTGAAGTATGACATTGGATTGTCAGCACTCAAGTATGTATTTCATGTATTTCATTTCGCGCTGTCTATTCCTGATTTCCATTGTAGTGGGCCAAATTGGAAACCATCAATTACCTCTGTATTTGCCACCGTATCTACATCAAATAAAGATTATTAACCTGCAGTTCGACGTCAGGCGTTTTCCGTACGTCATAAGAAGTTGTTGCTGGAAGACGCACAAAATTTGCGATAAAAATGGGTGTTCTTTTCGCCATGCAGAATTCGTCGTTTGCAAGACAACTTTACTTGAAATAGCTATTTAGAGTTACAATAATAGATACATAATTTACGGCTACTCTGCTTTTGATTTTAGAAGCGTTAGGATAAAGGATGTTGAACCGCCTGCGAAGAAGGCAAAGAAAACTGGCAAAGAAAGTTCTAAGAAGACGAAATCCAACGAGGCTGACAAACCAAAACCAAAGAGCAAGTCGAAACGGCCCTCATTTGGTAACAAACCTTTAGATTTCATTTTGCTTGTCTCACTTTTCGTTTTTCCGTTCCCTTCTTTTCACTGCTTTTCTTTTTTTTTTTCCTTTTTTCTTTCGTTAATTGCCCGTGCACATGCCTGTGCCTGTACTTGTGCTTACCTTGCCCTTGCCTATTTTTTCCTTCCTTTTCTACTTTCCTTTCCCCCCCGTTTAACCGGGCAATACTATATTTCAGAGGATTTGATAATAAGACCTCCAAAGAAGCCCAGAAGCGTTGGACCAAATATAAGAGCACCTTGCTTCCCTGACAAAAAGCAACAGAAGCAGACGCAGAATGCTAGCAAACATCTAAGTAAGTCTTTTCCCTTACGAATTACTTTTTTTTCATTCCTCCCTTCCTCCCTTCCTCCCTTCCTCCCTTCCTCCCTTCATCCCTTCATCCCTTCTCTATTCTTTTCTATTCTTCTAACATATATTCCTCACTCCCCTCCTCATTTGCTCGTTCATTACTTCATCCATTTTTTTGCTTTTAGTTTCAGTAGATGATGTCGATAGAGAAGCAATATCTAAGGCCATAGGATTGCGGAAGAGTTTCTCGACAGATATAGACAAAATAGTACGTATGAGTTCATTTAATTCAGAAGAGATTATCCAGTTGGAATAGACGTTGTCGACTTTGACTGGGACGTAGAAGCATCATTTTTAGTTGGGGGAGGTAYATTTCTATTCAAACCCAAGATCTATGCATCTTTAACGGATTTGTTCTTTTTCCAGCTTATTCTTTGTAGGATTGGTCTTGAGATCATGAAAAAGACTTCATATCGCAATCCCTACCCATTCCAAGACATCAGGAATATTGTGCACGAATACTGCGAGGTATAGTTCGATGGTCCGTTCTCCTTATTACCTCTCGATACTACTACTTCTTATTCAACTGTTTTAGCTTCTTCTAGAAATGCAAGGCAATTGCGTTAAAGTAAAGGAATTACAACATGACCGAGTCTGGAACGAAAGCAAATGCGCACCGCACATGGTTATGGGGCCAAGTTTGGAGCACCCACTCGTTTAGACCTGTGATCCTAACAGCGATTCCCTACAGTCTTTCTTTGAACTTCGGAAAGGCTTTGTCTGTCTGAGATTCCAGAGCTGGACCCATGCATTTTTATTGATGCGGGGTCACAAAAACGAGCTGAGTAGCGAGAAAGAGACGTGCGCGCACATCCTTTTTGTCCTTTTTTTCTCAAACATGAATTAACTACTAAGAAAAGTGGACTCAGTTCTGAATTAACTAAATTATTGATCAATGACCATAACTTGCCGCACAGTAAACTTATTATCTTGTATTGTATAGGATGCTTCTGATAAAACAGCACCCAATTGTCAACAGCGACTTCTTCGTCTGATGAAAAATCCCAAGAATGTCACTACCGTCAATGTTTGTGTGGCAGAGTATTCTTCTAGTAAAGTAAGTGTGCGTAACTCCGGGGAAAAAAAACTAAAAAAGGTGAAGAATAATGCTGGGTACAGAACCAGGGTGGATCAAGGATTGTCATTTTGAGGGACTGGGTTTATAAGTATAGGAAATCGCACGATCTCGAGTACAATTCGGAATTTATAGGTACGAGTGATGTTTTGAAAGTTTTCAAAAATTGGACGAGCCTTTAGCCTTGAGGCGAGTTCAAATTGAGAACTTTCAAAACATCACGAGTATCTATAAATTCCGAATTGTACGAGAAGATTGTGCGATTTTTTGTTTATAATACACTCAAAAAAAATTGAGCAACTTAACTGGGACTCTACAGAGTAAAATTTGGGATCTAATTGTACTCCTCTCGCCCAATCAGAATCAAATAATTTTGTAGAGTGTATTATAAACTAAGAAACAAATGCCAACCATACATTCTGAAAACTTCTCAGGGAATCAAGTGGGGCGTAACAGTACTAATACACTCGCCTCACTCCTCTGGGGTCTCGAGTTCGATTCCTAGACTCAGCATCAGAGTAGAGTTTGTGAGGCTATGCTTCCCTTGATTCAAAGTTTTTTCTCTGGGCTCTGATGAAATCATTGTGGATTTTTTGGTTAATCATTTTGTATTTCTGATTCATTTTGCAGGAATTCTTGGGACTAGACAACCCAGAGCTGCCCTTTTCTGAGACCTTCCATTCTCTCGTAACTAGATTAATCGAACTCTCAAGGTAAAAATGACATAATACAACGTAGCTAGAGACACGACACTCAATCAAGAAATACTTTACCATTCAACTATTTACTTAAKGTAGAATCAATACTAAAAGTACTGAATAGACCCRTTTCGAATTCAAAATTACCGCTGTGTTCCTTGATTACAGACTCATCTGCACAGGGTTAGCCTCGTATCAGTGTTTAAATATTCACAAATACCAACGGTAAAGTAAAGAATGCACGACTTCAACAATACAAACATTTTGAAACTCGAGGGACCTTGACTGGAACACGTGAACATTCTGCACAAACTCGAGGCTAACCCTGTGGAAATGAGTCTGTAATCAAGAAATACAGCGGTAATTTGGAATTCGAAAAGGGTCTATTAGTACTTAATATATGTACTTTAAAATGTGCACGACTTTAAAGTGCATATGTCCTAATTCAATACTTTTAGTATATGCATGTTATTATTCATTCTGTAATGTAATGTTGTCAGGACGCGAGTTGCTTGTCTGGAAGACACTTCACAGTTATCGTCAACCTTGGATGAATTATACAAGAGGTTTTATGYACAAAGGCTCACTCTCCCTAGAGAGGTACGTTGAACAGTCAAAACATGATGAATAAATAAGTATCCAATTTATTCGCATTATAGTACGAAAAGAGATATTAAAGAGGTTAACTCTATTGAGAATATCTCCTAAGATTGGATTGGATATCCAGGGGGGGGGGAGGAGGGGGGGGAGGGGATGCTGATTATGTGCTTTGCACACCTTTTAACTACGTAGTAAAATGGATATCATCATATGAAAGTAGACTTACTTTTCTAGTTTTTCTCTGTCGTATAAGGTAAGAAAGGGTCTTCATTACTCTTTATTGCAGGTATTGCCACTTTCTGCAGATATTTCAGTCCTTGGGCCTCCCATCCAAACAGTTAGAGACATTCGTGTGTCTGTTGCCAGAAATGTCATTCAGGTGAGTTTCTCTGATCCTCAAAGGACGTAAGACCCAAGAAACATGTAAGTACCCATGAGACTTGAATAGAAATCACAAAAGGAACTTTAAGATTTGCAAAACGACGGCGAAGTTAACCGGAAATGTAGATAACTTCACTTTTGGGTTTCGCGCCTTAAAAGTCTGTCTTCCCCGCGGATTAGTACACTTTACAAACAATGTTTCGAATGAAATCTTTTAGATATCATTAACACTTATCATTTTATATCATACCATTATATTATACAATTATTCGAATTATTTTGCAAATTTTAACTCTAATACAGAGGGGTGTCAATGAAGTTACCTAGCTACCACTGATATTCAGGTGTTGATAGTCGTGTGGGTCAAAACAAATAAATATTTTTCTTGGGAAAATTAYATATCTTGTTATGTAAAAGTATTGCATTGTTCCTGTCCTACAACATGGCTATCTGCAGTGAAGCTCCGCAATAGCTTACTTTGGATATAGCTTATAAGTTTTATTAGAAAGTGTAGTGGTTTTTAAGGCTTGCCTAAAATTAACGACCCGTTCAGCAGCACCCAAATGAAAACTAATTAAAGTGATTTCTTGTTTCCTTACCAACAGATGGCATGTCATTCAGAACAAGCCAAATACAACCATTTAGGAGTCTTTAAACTATTTGATGAGTTAAATATGGTTAGTAATATTTACCCCATGGCAAAAGCGAAAAACATTTTTTTTTAGATATTCAAGTGTGGTGTAGTGGTAGTGCACTAGCCTGTCACCTCTGGATTCCTGGACTTGCATGGCATCCGCCACGTTTGAGTAGTGTTTGTTGGGTCTTTCCCACAATTCGAGGGTTTTTTTTCGATTTCCTACTCCAGCAAAACCTAACACGCTGAAATGCAATTCCATCTGTAAGTTGGCCGTGCCGTGACTTAGATCAGCCRAGAGGTTATTTCAGGGTTCGATCTGTAAAATAGTCGTGACCTCATGACTTTGATCAGCCCAGAGATTGTTTCAGGGTTCGATCTGTGCGTTAACCGTGCCGTGACTTTGAAAACCCCAGAGGTTGTTTCAAGGTTTTTATAAAGTTAATGGAAAAATAGAAACTGCTGTCATGATTAGCTTATGTTTCTTTGTTCACGTGTAGGATGAAAAAGAAGAAGCCTTTAGAGAATTGCAGAAGACTGGTTTGATCATTAGAAGGGTTAGTGAGAATACGCCTACTGTAATGAGAGAGGGAGAGCAGATTTCTTGTTTGCGAAAAACTGTCGTACCATGACCATGACGGTGCCTTGTCCACGACGGTGCCTTGTCCACGACGGTGCCTTGTCCACGACGGTGCCTTG